AAAAGTTTGCTACCCTACAGTTCTGCGCATTCAAAACTTGTAAAGCGAGCGATTGCAAAATCCTGTCTAAAGGCGGCCCTGATGCGGTCTTGCCATCACACATTGTGTACTAGTTTTGAGTCACAGGTGCGCAGATTGCGCAAGGCAGGGTACCCGAATAACATACTGTGTTCCATAGCTGAAAGTATCTTAAAAGACATCAAACAGCTAACCGAACCGACTAGTGGTCAAGAAAAAGTTCTTTTTCAAGAACAGCAGTCATTCCTTACTTGCATAAGGTGTCACATTGTTTAAAAAAGGTAGCACAAAAAGCTGGAATCAGAGTTGTTTTTTCAGCCAGAAATAAGTTCTCTAGTATGTGCCATCAGGTGAACAGAGAGGACAGAGGGCCTCGCGTGTGTGATAAAAAACACGCAATCAAGTTTGTTGAATGTTGTTTTTGTGCCATTTATGAAATTCCCCTCTCTTGCGGCCGCTGTTACATCGGGCATTCTGGCCGCTGTATAAATGACCGCCTCAGGGAACACCGCAATCTAATGCGGGGTTCTGTTGGCAGCCACTTAGCTGCGCACAGCTCCATTTGTGGATGCCGTGCATTGTTTGACAAATGCAAGATACTTCGACGCTACAGAGATAAAAGGACACGTGAGATTTATGAGGCATTCTGCATAATCAAGAAAGGCGATATGTGTGTCAGTGCACCTTCGATAACGCTCCTCACCAGGGAATTGGCGTATTTGACAAGCGAATGATTGCGCAATCACAGTTTATTTGTTATACGCATACAATCATAACAAAAATTACTCTTTCATGTCACTCGACTTCTCTCCCTCTTTTTTCAAGTTTCGTGTGCTATATATACACCCCTGTACGAAATAAATTTTGGTTGTAAGTCAGCGCCTCGTCCGTCTCTTCTCTGTCCTGTGTCCTGTGTTACGCGCTGTTTTTTCACTTCGTTGACCATGTACCAACCGGCCCAAATAAGCACTTTAGAAACATTGGCCTCTCCTGAAACTGCTATCGCTGCTGCTCTACCACAGCTGGAGCCACCGTTTCTCCATGCACCAGCTGTGCTGGAAGTGCCTCATCATGAACAGCTACCTTGAACTAGCTTCTCTGGGAGTAGCTGTGCCACGGAGAGCGACGGGACTGCGCTCAATGGGACAAGTTGAATTCACAACTTGTGGACTGGCAGCTTCGTATACGTCACACGTCATGTTTGCGACCCACAAGCACAGCGCGTGAGAGGAGCGCGTGGTTGGCGTGGTGGCGCAGTTAGTTCACTCCCTGTTCTGTGGTTCACCGTTGAGTCTAGCCGTGTATTCACGTGCGTTGGAACACTCAATGCGTTGACTCAATGCAATGAGCGAAGTCTTATCGAAGCAATGAGCGACGCCACTGATATTCAGGGGCCTATCTTTAGGAGGCACCTGCTGAAATTGAAACTTCAAGACGGTGTTTGGTTTGCATATCTAACGACGGAAGACGACGTCATACAACTGGAAAGATCCCTCGCTGCTGCCAACGTAAAATTTTCTGTGCGTTCGTCTCGAAAAAAGCCAGGTGAGCGAACATCAGTGAAGGCGGTGATACATACTGCTGGCACTGGTGTCACATCATAGAAATTCGAGCCAATTGCTGCTATGGTGGGATTTAGTCTCATTTTCGTTAATTTTCTTTCGTCCTTATCTCGCTTATGATATGCATGCGTAAATTGAAGGACCTCATTGTCTCTTCTTTCTGACATCGTCTAGTCTGTGCAGTGTGTGATCTACGAACACGCCTAAATTCATGCCTTGTAAAGACTTCAGTTGTTAATAAGCTTATCCAGAATTTTGATTGTGGGAGCGTTTTGAGGGTGGGTGGTTTTAAATCCCCAAGTAATAGAATTATTACAGCCTGGAGGCCGTTTCAATGTCCTCAGCTCGGCTCACTGTGCTTGGGGATGGCGCGAGTGTTCATCGTGCTGCAGGAACAAAGGAATTCGACACTTTTCTCTAACAAAACAAGTATCGATGTAATGCTAAATCAAAGGTCAAAGTACCGCCTTTGACTCGTGCGTGAAACCGGAATAACACTAACTGTGCAGCGGATGTTTGTAACGTGGTTTAATAGCTAGAAAAGTGCGGGGTGAAGCAGTGAAGTGCGGGGTGCTGCTCACAGTGTAGCGTTAAACAAAACGAAGTGCGCACTCGTGTGTGTTTTTCTTCACAGGCAACATTGTGTTCAACAGCGTAAATGGTGGTGTTCCAATTTATTTGAACCTAGTGCCTTTTCAGGTGACAGAAGATGCAACGAAGCAATGCGTCTTTGGGGACGAGTATTACAAGAAGTCCCAAATCTGTCCTCAGAATTTATAATCGTTGAGGGTGTTATTAACATGTTACTCAACCTAAAAATTAGATCTTCCGTTGGCCCCGACAACATACCCAATGCCTTCTTGCACCGATACGCTGAGCCGCTAGGGCATATTCTTACTCACCTTTTTAGGCTATCATTTGACTGTACCGAAATTCCTGACGACTGGCGCATGGCCTGTGTCGTACCAATCTTCAAAAAAAGGGGACCGCCTCTTTGCAAACAATTACCGCCCTATCTCCCTGACTTCTAGCATCTGTAAACTCTTCGAACATGTATCAGATTTTATTGTCTCGTTTTTAGAAGCCAACAATATTCTAACGCCTTGTCAGCACGGGTTCAGAAGACGCTTATCTACGCTTACCCAGTTAGTAACCACTATTCATGAACTTGCGTCTTCACTCGATAAGGCTGAACAAATCGACGTCATTTTTTTAGATTTTAGCAAAGCATGCGACCGCGTTCCTCACAGTAAACTAATCCTAAAGCTTCAAAAAATTGGCTTACCAATAACACTCTTAAAATGGATCCAGTGCTATCTGTCTAACCGCAAGCAGTTTGTTAAAATCAGTAGCTGTTTTTCTGATACTCTCCCTGTAACTTCCGGTGTTCCTCAGGGCAGCGTGCTGGGACCCGTACTATTTTTAATTTATATCAATGATGTTTCTGACGTTATCGACGCATCGTCGATTGGTTTAAAGTTGTTTGCGGACGACTGTGTACTCTTTAAACGAATTTCATCCTCAAGTGACCAAAGTAACCTGCAATGTAACCTTGATGCTGTCTCTAATTGGTGTGAAAAATGGTCCATGGAACTGAACTGTGACAAATCTGTATTGCTCCAGGTAACTAACAAAAAAAAATGCATTCACGTCCTCCTACAGGCTCAATAACCACACGCTGAAACAAGTAGACGAATATAAATATCTAGGAGTTACTATAACAAGCAAACTAACTTGGTCCAGTCACATTAACAAAATTTGCGCATTGGCCTCCAGAAAACTCGGGTTCCTCAGGCACAAACTAAAAGCCGCTCCTCCACGTGTTAAATTGCTAGCTTATAACTCCATTGTTAGGCCACAACTCGAGAACGCAAGCGCAGCATGGGACCCATTCCTTAAAAAAGACATTCACAAATTAGAAATGGTGCAAAGAAAGGCAGTCCGGTTCATCTTTAACAGCTATCATAGTCGAGTTTCTCCATCGCTTCTCAAGGAAAACAACAATATAATGACCCTGGAACACAGGAGGCAGGTTGCGCGTCTAAGATTTCTGTTTTTGCTTAATTCCCAACAATTCAATATTAATCCAGGACTTTATATTCAGCCCCGCTTATCTCGTTCAACTCGAAGCACCCATGAGCACAATCTAACTCCAATTTTTGCACGCACTAATCTTTTTAAGCACTCCTTCTTTCCCCGCACAATCGAGCAGTGGAATAGATTGCCTGTTGATGTGTTTTCGGCGCGTGATGTGTTGGATTTTGAAAAGCGTGTACTTTCTGCAATATTTTAAACATTCACTGTGCCGCTATGTTTCTTTGTGTACTGCTATCTTTTTTTCTTTTTTTTTCACACTTGTTGGACTGTTTTCAGAATTGTGTACCAATTTACCATGCGGATTGATGCTTTCTATGTAATTAATCCCTGCCCACCTGCTTGGTCTTCGGACTGCAGTATGTCTTAAATGAAATAAATAAATAAAGTCTCATGCCCAGCACCAGGTATGTAGCTTGAAATACAAAAAAAACTGAGAAATTTGATACAGTCAAATCCCGGCACAACGAAGCCCGCTTCAACAAAATTTCCGCCACAACGAAGGTTTTTCCATTCCCCGTCGATGTCCCATAGGGTATAATGCTTCGAAATTCCCTCCAATACGAACTACTTCACGGCAGCATTTCCACTTCAACGAAGTTTTTTGCGGGACAGGCACGAGCAAAATGATTCAAATTACAGCTTATTGAAATTCTCAAGTGTTTTAATGCCTTGACAGACCATGGACCTTAATAACATTTAAAAAAAAAACACACAAGATGTTGCTCAGAGCGTGCATACTGGGTGCGACGGTGACTCGCTGCGCAATGTCAACAACACCAAGCCGCCATACATACCGCGATAGTGATGGCGATGCAATCAATGCAACGCGCTCTTATGTAGATTCAGAAGAAACGTCGGAAACGTTTTGAATCGTGTCTGTGTACAAACAACACGCATTAATTTGATTTTTATGATATTTTTAATCATTTTTAGTATAACGTTTGTGAGAATGGTTTTAATGTCAGGAATTTCCAATTTATGTGTACGTACGTACGTACAAAATTGGAGATGCGAGGCAAATCCCGGTAGAGTGCGACGATGCGTTCGGACGACGGCTTCCGCTTCCGGCGGCTTGACTAGGGCTAGCTTCTTCACAACGAGCGATCGCACGCTTTGGTCATTGTTTGAATGTTTCCCGAAGGTGCAGTAACGCGATCAACGATGGCGCAGCCGGCGAAAGAGCGCAAGTTTTTGTCGCCGATGCGTTCGGACGACGGCTTCCGCTTCCGGCGGCTTGACTAGGGCTAGATTCTTCACAACGAGCGATCGCACGCTTTGGTCATTGTTTGATTGTTTCCCGAAGGTGCAGTAACGTGATCAACGATGGCGCAGCCGGCGAAAAAGCGCAAGTTTTTGTCGCTCGAAGACAAGGCTCGCATCATCGCACAGGCTGAAGCTGGAAAGAAGAAGGCACTCATCGCTGAAGAGTTCGGGATCGCGGCGAGCTCTCTGTCAACTATATTGAAGAGCAAGGACGCGATAGGCAAAGCTCTAGCTTCAGGGACGTCCGCCAAGCATAAGAAGGTGACCCAGCCAGTGCACGAAGCCTTAGACAAGGCTGTTTACACCTGGTTCGTAGAGACGCGGGCCAAGAAAATTGCCTTTAGCGGCGATATTGTACGGCAGAAGGCGCTGGATTTTGCCTGCATGCTCGGCATTGATGATTTCAAGGCCAGCGTAGGTTGGCTAAACAGATTTAAATCCCGCCACAGCATCATCGGCAAAGTGTTGTGTGGTGAAGCCGCTTCGGCGGATAAAGACGGCGCTGCCGCGTGGATGTCGGCCAGCCTTGGAAGCATCCTTAAGGACTACGCATCATCGGACATATACAATGCCGATGAGACCGGTCTATTCTACGAAATGTTACCGAACAAGACCCTGGATTTTAAGGGGCTGCGCTGTCAAGGAGGTAAAGACAGCAAGAAAAGGATCACCGTGCTACTGTGCGCCAATATGGACGGATCAGATAAGCGACCGCTTTTGGTCATTGGCAAAAGCGCAAAACCGCGCTGCTTCAAAGGAAATCGGCGCCTTCCAGTGAAGTACGTGGCCAACAGCCGGGCGTGGATGACCCGTGCAATTTTTGGAGAGTGGGTCGAGGAATTCGACCGGGACATGGGCAGGCAAGGCCGCAAGGTTTGTCTGCTTTTAGACAATTGTTCCGCACATTCGATTGAGGACACGGAGCTCGAGAACGTGCAGCTCAAGTTTTTGCCACCGAACTGCACGTTGCAAAGCGTCAAGTGCGCGTGCCGCAAGCGCCTTATCTAAAGGCTGATTGTGAACACTCGGTTGGGTCGCGAAACGAAAATCGACTTGTTCATGGCGCTCCAAATGATCGCTGCTTCGTGGTGCGAGACGGAAAGCGCCGTAGTCGCGAACTGCTTTCGCCATGCCGGATTCGCAGTACAATGCGCTGATACTTCCGATTCTGCGATTGAAGCTTACGATGGCAACGCAGACCGCGATGAGGACAGGTTGCTGGACCAGGACGAAGAAATCGCAGTCGCTTGGGCAGGCTTGCAGGAAAGTGATGTGCCCGCCGACGTACATATCAGCGAGTTCTTGCAAGCCGACTCTTGCTTGGTGGTGCGCGAGGAAATGACGGACGCAGACATCATAAAGAGCGTCCAGGAAGATGGTGTTTCGTCGGACGATGATGACACAATCGCGCAACGTGATCCCGCACTACCACCGACTTCACAGGTGCTGGACGCATTCGATATCATCAGGCGTTGCATCGGGTCGCAGGACGACGATGAAGCAATGGCTCTACTGGCAGCGTGCGAAAGTCGTGTTGTGCCATCGCTTGGCAAGAAGCGGAAACAGGCGAAGTTTAGCGATTTTTGGCATTAAAGCTTGTTCTTTTGCTTCAGCAAGTCCCGTGTCACGTATGTATTTCATCATATCGCGACAACGAATTTCCGCGATAACGAAATTTTGCGCCCGCCCCGTCAATTTCGTTGTAGCGGGTGTAGCGAAGCCTCCGAACTCTGAAATGGGTCGAACTCTTGAGTACCTTCTAGTGGGGCTACCCAACAAGAACGCCGCTCGCGCTGGGAGTCCGTGCTTGGCCGTTACTGTCGCCATTGTGTATACTCGCTGTCTGCCCGCTAGTAAACGCCATAACAAATTGGTGGAGAGTGCTACGATCCCTTTTGATGCCCTGGGAACTGCGTTCACGTACCCTGCAATCTACAATGTCCCACGACGCCTCGCAGCAAACGCCTCCTCCCATGCCACCCCCTTGTGCCGGTGTCCCCAGGATCCGAGATCCACCCATCTTCACGGGCGCCGATGGCACTGACGTGGAGGACTGGCTCGCTATCTACGAGCGCGTGAGCGTCCCCAACAAATGGGACGAGGACGGCAAGTTGACAAACTTGGTGTTCTACCTTGCGGGCGTTGCAAGCTTGTGGTACAACAACCACGCGTCCGATTTCGCAACCTGGTCCAATTTCAAGACCGCTATTACCAACGTTTTTGGCCGCCCTGCCGTTCGTAAGCTGCAAGCCGAGCAGCGCTTACGCGAACGCGCTCAGCAGGCTGGTGAATCATTCACCAGTTACATAGAAGATGTCCTGGACCTTTGCAAAAAATCCAACGACAGCATGTCCGAATCAGACAAGATCCGGAACGTCATGAAGGGCATTGACGATGATGCCTTCACGATGCTGCTTGCCAAAAACCCAGGCACAGTAGCTGAGGTCATCACGCTGTGCCAGAGCTACGAGGAGCTCCGCCGGCAGCGTTCGATGACCCGTCGCTCTACACCACGAGATGCAGGGCTTGCAGGCTTGGAGGCGAGCTGTGATCAGGTGGCACTGCTGGCAGACCTCAAGTCCTTCATACGTGAGGAAATCGCGCGCCAGTTCTCTCTCCTGCCCTTTGCCCACCCACCGGCTGCTCAACAATCGGCCACTACCATTCTTTCACCCATCCGCCGAGCAATTGAGCAGGAAATAGCGGAGGTCATGCCGGCGTACCAACCACAACAGCTTGCGGCCCCTGCGCCCCCAAGTTACGCCCAAGTGGTCGCTAGGCCGCCTCCAGTCGTTCAACCGCCCGCCCCACTGACTTACGCCGAAGCTGCCGCACGACCTCCATCCTTTACAGCGGCTATGCCGGCTACGTATGTTGACGTGACCTCGCAGACTCAGCTCCAGCACCCCCTGCAGCCTTTCCAGCCACAGTTCCGTCCATCGGCTCTTACGTCATGGACAAGACCTACCCCAGCGAACCGATGGCGCACACCCGACAACCGGCCCATCTGCTTTGCCTGCGGTTACGCCGGTCACGTAGCCCGTTATTGCCATCGTGTACAGCCGGCTACAATTTCTTCGCCTATAGCTGGCCACCTCAGCCGTTCGTATAACGACGAACGGCCGTCTGTGCCACTGTCGTCTCGCCCAGGTCCGTCTGCTCGAAGGTCGCCGTCTCCACGACGTCGGTCTCTGTCCCCCATGCGGCCAAGTTCTTCTGCTCATGAGCGGGAAAACTAGTCGTCGCAGTCCCCGAGGCAAGGACTGCGATGCTATTGCGATATGAAAGCCCTCAGAGCCGCCCATCGAATGTCATAGACGTGCTTGTGGACGGTGTTCATGCATCTGCTCTTATTGACACTGGAGCTGCAGTATCCGTTATGGACGAAAACTTCTGCCGCTTGCTTCGAAAAGTGACGACGCCGATTTCTGGGTTGTCCCTTCGTACTGCCGGTTCACATCGTATCCATCCTTCAGCAGAGTGCACAGCTCGCGTTGTCGTTCAGGATGTTCTGTATGTCGGCCAATTCATCATCATTCCTGCATGCTCTCATGACATCATCCTGGGGTGGGATTTTCTCTCCCGCAACGACGCCGTCATCCATTGTGCCGCTGCCGAAATTGAATTCTCACCCTTCTCGCATTTGACGCCGGAAGACAGTCCCTCGACACTGAGTAAGATTCTCGTGAAAGACGATACCATAGTGCCTCCAAGTTCGGCAATGGGTGTATCTGTCTACTGCGCTGGACTCTCCGACACAATTGCACTCGTTTCGCCATCCGACCGTGCTTGCCGAAGGAAAGGGTTGCTAGTACCTTTCGCGACCGTGCAAATCACCCAGAGCAACGCCGCTATTTTTGTGACCAACCCATCCCCGTACACTGTTACCTTGGTTCGAGGGGAATGTCTCGGCAGAGTGGAACCAGTGGATAACGCACAAGTCCTGGACGTACCTGATGACTCGCGTTGTCCCAGTTCGTGTACCGTCAGCGCTGTTTCCACTTATGATTCATCATCTCCTGATGTATTTGGCCCTTACATTGATGACAATCTTACGTCGGTACAGCGTTCCCAGCTTCTGGACCTGCTGCGAGAATATCATTCTTCTTTCGATGTCGGGCGAAGTTCTCTCGGTCGCACGTCCGCTGTTACACATCGTATCGACACTGGTGCCCATCCACCATTACGGCAACGTCCCTACCGCGTGTCGCCTACTGAACGTCGGGAAATTAACGAGCAGGTTGATGATATGCTCAGACGCGACGTTATTCGGCCATCGGACAGTCCATGGGCGTCTCCTGTTGTTCTTGTCGCCAAGAAAGATGGTTCTGTGCGGTTCTGTGTGGACTACAGACGGCTCAATAAGATCACTCGCAAGGATGTTTACCCACTGCCGCGCATCGATGACGCAATTGACAGCCTTCACGGAGCCGAATTTTTTTCTTCTCTCGATCTGCGCTCTGGGTACTGGCAAGTACCCATGGCTGATGACGCTCGACCGAAGACTGCGTTCATCACACCCGACGGCTTGTACGAATTCAACTTCATGCCGTTTGGTCTATGTAATGCACCTGCGACCTTTGAGCGCATGATGGACACCGTTCTGTGCAACTTGAAATGGCACACGTGCTTGTGTTACCTCGATGACGTTGTTGTGTTCGCTCCAGATTTCTCCACGCATCTCCAACGTCTGAAAGAAGTTTTCGCACGTGTGAGCAATGCCGGCTTGCAACTAAATCTGAAGAAGTGCCGCTTTGCAGCACGGCAACTCGCCATCCTAGGGTACGTCGTGTCTAAGGATGGCATTCTTCCTGACCCAGCCAAGCTTCGGGCCGTGGCTGAATTTCCCAAACCTGCGTCCGTCAAAGAACTGCGTAGTTTCGTGGGCCTGTGCTCATACTTCCGACGCTTCATACGAAACTTTGCTACGATTATATCACCGCTGACGAAGCTCCTTGGAAGTAACGGGCCCCTCAATTCGTGGTCGTCTGAGTGCGACGACGCGTTCGCGAAGCTCCGCCATTTGCTGACGTCTCCTCCCATTCTACGCCACTACGACCCTACGGCCCCGACGGAGGTGCACACAGACGCCAGTGGTGTAGGCCTTGGCGCTGTCCTGGCGCAGCGCAAACCCGGATTCTCTGAATATGTCGTAGCATATGCAAGCCGTACGCTCACGAGAGCCGAGACAAACTACACCGTCACGGAGAAAGAGTGCCTGGCGATCGTCTGGGCCCTTACAAAGTTTCGACCTTATTTGTATGGTCGCCCATTCGATGTCGTCACCGACCATAATGCACTATGCTGGCTTTCATCATTGAAGGATCCCTCAGGCCGTCTCGCCCGTTGGGCTCTTCGCTTACAAGACTATGACATCCGCGTGCTGTACCGCAACGGACGCCAGCATGCTGACGCCGACGCCCTCTCGCGCTCCCCTCTGCCTAAAGGTGATGTGCTCTGCTCAGTATCCTCAGCTGCTGTTTCTGCCATTGATGTTGACATCATCGCTACCGAACAGCGAAAGGATAATTCGATCGGCCCGCTCATCGACTTGCTCTCTGATCCATCCGCAACGCCATCCACGCGTGCCTTGCGTCGTCAAGCTCGCCATTTCGCCATCCGTGACGGCCTTCTACACCGACGCAATTACGACGCCGATGGCCGGCAGTGGTTACTCGTGATACCCCGCAGTCTGCGGTCAGAGATATGTGAATCCTTCCATTCTGATCCGCAATGCGCGCACTCTGGGGTATTCAAAACCTACCGTCGTATTCGACAACGCTACTTCTGGCGCGGGATGTACCGCTATGTGCAGCAGTTCGTTCGCTCCTGCCTCGCTTGCCAACGCCGCAAACCGTCAGCACACATGTCGCCAGCCAGTCTGCAGCCGTTACCTTGCCCTGAGCGTCCGTTTGGGCGCATAGGTATCGATTTGTATGGACCACTTCCTCTGACGTCGGCTGGTAACCGCTGGGCCATCGTCGCCGTAGATCATTTAACGCGATACG